GGGGACCTTGGCGGGGCGCGGGCCGGGGCCGGGGCCGGGAACGGCGCGTGCGGTGCCGGGGACCGGGCTCACCGTGCGTCCTGTCTCCGCAGCTGCTGCCCCGGCGCACCGACTGGACCGGGAAGGAGCATCCCAGGACCTACCAGAATCTGGTGAGACCTTGACGGCGCACAGCAAAGAAACTTTTCCCTGAGTCGAATAAAAATTGAATTTCCCGCAATTTTTTACAGAGACAAAAACTTGGCCCCAGAACGGGGAAACTACAGAGGCCACGGGGAGGGTTGGGAGGCCAGAGCCGGGGCTGCGGGGGGCGGCGGCCGGGGGTGCCCGCGCCCCGGGGCCGCAGGGGCCGCGGACAATTTATTTGTGATATTTTGTTAATGTGCTAGAAATAAAGATACGTCATGAGTGTTGTGCACTGCAAGGCCGGAGGAGGAGGGGCCGGCGCGCGCGTCCGTGCGGCGGCGGGGGCGCGCTCCAGGCGGCGGCGGGAGCGGCGCGAGCAGGGAGAGCGCGCCCGCTGCTCGCGGCCGGCCCTGCGCTCCGCAGCCGCACACAATGGCTGGTGACTAAGTGCTCCGAGTGGCGGTCGCGAGGCCCCGGCGGGGCTTCGCCGCCGCGGCGGAACCTCGGCCGGACGTTCTTCGTCCCTTCCCTCTCCCTTTTCTCCTGCTTGCCTTAGCGTCAGACCTGGAGTTTTGGTCTTTTTGTCTTGTAGCTGGAGGCGTTCCCGTGTTGGATGCGGTTACCTAGCGGCACACTGCGTTTCCGAAAACGTGTTTGCCGAAGTGCAAACTAGATGTTTCAGTGGGCTTTTTCTAATTTTGCTCATTCTTTTCGGTATGCCCCTTTTTACGTAAAGAGCCTTGAAGAGCTTTGATTTTTTTTCTTTTTTAATCTACATAGTTAATTTACAGTAGGCTGGACTTTGACCCTTTAAGTTTTTTGTTTCTAGAAACATGTATTTTGCGTAATAGCTTGGAAAACCTGTTTTTTTTTTTTTTAATTTTGTGGTTTTTCAAACTGTTGAAATGATTTCTAAAGATTGCTTTCTAAAAATGGACCTAGTATTGCGAATGGAAGGGTAAAGTCGTTACTGTAAAGTTTACCTTCTTAAAGGCGCTAGAGTTTCCATAGCATTTTCTGCCAAAACTGATTTAGGTTCGTATGAATGTGGTGAGCAGTCACACCAGGCCCACCCAGCAGTAAATGGTGCATACTGTTTTAGAGTCACTGGAAACTATTGGAGGTAGACTTAACGGTTATCTCAGGCTGTGGAGGGAGAAAGTTTCAGCTTGTACAGACAGAATGACTGCCCTCCAAGAGGTATGTATGGCACGACTTTGATGACTTCTGCTTCGTTTTGGATATACACCTGGTTTTAAAGATTTTATGTAAATTGTTGATGACTACTTGTCTGTTGAAATAAGCGACGGTCCCTTAGGCTAAGAAACAAACATTCATGGAGACGACCAGTGCTTCCCGTCAGTTCTCAAGTAGCGATTTAGGATCCTCTCATTCAGTACTTGAAGTCAGTGGAGTTTTGCAATATTTGAAATTAATTTTTAGGTTTGTAGTTTTTGACAAAATCTTCAGTGTTTTCCGTGCCTCTGGGTATTTTAAGAAAACAATCATGAAGGCTGAAGACGTTGTATTGCAAAGATAGGGCATGTTTTACAAAACCATCTTTACTTCTCTCTTAAAAAACCCCCAAGTTCCAAGTTACTGAAGAATTGCTGTTTTCCTAAGAGATTTGCAGCAACTGCATGTTTTTTGAATGGAGAGGCTTAAGGCATTTGATCAAATTATGGGACTGTCTTATCCTCGTAGGAATGTTTTTATTTTGTCTATAAACAGTACTGCAGTTTAGATTTAGACTTGGAGGGGGATTCAGCGTGGTTCAAATATTAGTAAAATGAATTTATATTCTTAGTCTAATTTTGAAATTTAAGATAAAATAAATTGCCTTTGTTATTGTATCATAATCTAGCTGTTTTGCATGAAGTTGTTTTTTCTTGCTTGCAGAGTTTTTCCCTTGACAGTCTGGCTGGCTTTGCCCTTTAAGACAGTTAAGAATTCTTATTAGAACTTGAAATCAATTCTTAAGTTTATTCAGCATAAAACTGCCTGCGGGGTGCAGGAGAGGTACTTTCACATCATCAAACTATCTGCTTAGGTATATGGGTATGTGAGTTAACTTTATAACTGTGGTTTAGTTAGAATTATAAACATTTTGTTTGCAGGTTTCTGAGTATATTAAATGTTGAAATTTTATGATTTGGTAAATATATGCAAAGTCTTTTGCATGATACACTGCCTTAATTTGAGTTTCACTTTTTATAATCAAATTGAATTAACTTTGGTTTGAAGATTATTTGGTAAAATTACTGTAATACTTTTTAAGTTTCCAGTAGTTTCTACTTTCTGGAAATAATTTGGTGTGTTAACTGATAAACTGTGCAGTTTTTTTAACTAGGATGTAAAATTGTAATTTCAAGAAAACTTCATCAGCTATTTAAGGATGGAGATGTATATTTGTATCTAATGAGCTTTAAAATGAGCATTGATCAGCATTGACAGAGATGACCTTACAGGTTCAATGGTTCAGTTTCAGTCAAAAAGAAAATAGAGTTTATGGTGTAGTTGAAAGTTTTAAAGGTTAAAAAAGTAAAATCAGTACATTATTTTATGTAATAATCAGAAAAGGAAATGCTCAGAAGCTGAGCATTTTGCCTTTGATATTAAAAATGTGAATTGTCTGTATTAACATTTAAAGACATTTTCAAGAATTTGATAGGATATTAAAAATTGGGGCACTATGATTTAAGTTTATTCAGATTTTGCATTTTCTAATATAGATTTTTTTTTAAGATAAAGGACATTTTTCAAACATCAAAATTTTTAAAAATGAAACTATTACGCAAAGTTTTGTTTTTATTTATTTATTTTTTAGACGGACTGGCTTTGAACTGTTGTAGCTGAGACTGACCTTGAACTTCTTATCTTCCTGTTTCCACATCTGGAGTACTGGGATTACAGGGTGGTTTATATAATGCTAGGGAATGAACCAAGGGGCTCTGTGCCTGCTTGGCAAGCACTTTTCCAATTGTGCTACATCTCTAGTCTTGCAAACTTTTTATAGAATCTAAGAAAGCCTATTTTTGGAATAAAATTTTTCAGTTTTTTTTAAGAAAGGCTGTCACTCTTATCTCAGTGTGATCTGGAACTTGCTGGGCCCCTGTAGCTTAGCCTGGCCTTGAATTCTCAGCTGTCTTCCTGCCTCAGCTTCCCAAATTTCAGGATTATAGCCTTGAGTCACCTGTATTGTTTTGAGTATTGGAACAATTTTTTAGTGGGACTGTTTGAACTTGTTGGATTTATTAACTCTACTTCCTGGTTGTCTTCTTAGTGTGATTGCTACTTTTGGATCTTAAGGCAGACTTTTTAAGCATTTTCACCAGACTTGGAATTTTTGTTTACAAGCCTTTTCTTTTTTCAGAATTGATTTAATCTTTTAATTTGCTAAAATTAGGCACTTTTTCCTTTTTTCCCCCTTTTCTGAAAACAGATTTTATTCAAATAAAGAGGAACTCCTTATTTAAATTTTTTTGCTTTTTAAAAAGTAATGATACTTGCTTTTTCTTAATTCCACTTTATTAGAAGTTTTTTTTTTTTTTTTTCAGAGTGAAAGAACGGGAACTCAGGAGACCCTGCAAACCATAACATTTCTCTTGCCTTGGTTATCTCATTTGTAAAAGAGTAGATTGAAATTTTTCCCATCTAAAAATGTAATTTTGAATTAGAAATAGCAGTGCATTGTTTTAAGTGCTTAGTACTTCCTTCTTGCAGTTTAAATTTCCAGAGTGGAAGACTAGATCTCTAGAAATAATGCCATTTAGGAAATAAAAGCTTTTCATAGTGTTATTCTTAAGTTGTAGTACCATTTCTTCTTGTGAAGATGAAGGTTTTTAAGACAGTAGTCACAGTGCAGAATACCTCTTCATTGCTGTATAATTTATGTTTTCACCCTGGTTGAGGTGCTAGTTTTCATAGGTTATTGGTAGTCTCAAATTCAGAGATGAATAGTGTCCATGAGTTGGTTTGACTTAAGTACTGCTTTTTTAAAAAATTTATTATTTTTATGTGTATGAGTGTATTGCCTGCATGTATGTGAGTGCACCCCTGTCTGCAATGCTGCGGAGGTCAGAAGAGGGCGTCGGATTCCCCTGGAACTGGAGTTAAGGATGGTTCGTAGCCGCCATGTGGGTGCTGGGAATCGAACCCGGGTCCTCTGCAAGAGCAGTCAGTACTCTTAACCGCTGAGCCATCTCTCCAGCCTCAGTACTTCTCTTAGGTGTACATTTATTTAAAGTATGCTGGTTAAACTGAATGTTAGGGTAGGACACCGAAGAGCTAAGTTTAAGGAAAGAGATAACATTAGATGTTTTGAGGTAGGAATTTCCAGTCTATATTAAGGTACTTTGAAGGCTTGGGTTTAAGTCTTTTTAGGTGTGTGGGTAAAGTTATTTTTTTTTCCCCCCTCATACTTAAATATTTTTTAAAAAATACAATTTTTATTTTATGTATACGAATATATTGCTTCCGTATGTAAGTGTACCCATGTTGGGCAATGCTTCCCGAGGTCAGAAGAGGGTATTGGATCCCCTGGAACTAGAGTTATGGACAGTTGTTAGCTACAATGTGGGTTTTGGGCACCAACCCTGGGTCCTCTACGAGAGCAGCCAGTGCTCTTAACCGCTGAGCCACCTCTACAGACCATAAGTTTTAAAAGTCTTTGATAGTTTCATACATGAACATAATGAATTTTAGCTGTTCCCCTCCCCTTTTAAAAGTTAGTGTTCATGAAATAGTAAGCTTAGCTTGGTAGTTCATGAAATAGGGCTTTTAAAATGAATTACAGTTATAATAAGAAATGAAATGTGTTAGGTGTGAAGGAGTAGTACAATGGTGAGGAGCTGAAGGACTAGAACTTTTCTTATATGCACATTTATTCTGTTAGTACATAATATCACTTAAAAATTGGAGGCACGGGGCTGGAGAGATGGCTCAGCGGTTAAGAACACTGTTGGAGAAGACCAGGTTCAAATCCCTGCACCCACATGGCGGCCAACAACTGTCCATAACTCCAGTTCCAGCAGATCCGACAGCCTCTTCTGTCCTCCATAGGGATTGCACGACACAGGTGCATTTACCTACATGCAGGCAATACACACGTATGCATAAAATAAAAATAATAATTTTTTTTTTTAAAAATTGGAGGCCGGGCGTGGTGGCGCACGCCTATCATCTCAGCACTTGGGAGGCAGAGGCAGGTGGATCTCTTGAGTTCAAGGCCAGCCTGGTCTACATACTGTGTTCCAGGACAGCTGAGGCTACAGGGAGACCCTGTCTCAAAAAAGACCAAAAAAAAAAAAAAATTGGAGGCACTTAAAACATTTATGTATATGCTTGTGAGTGTGGGTATACATGCATGTGTGCTTGTTGAGGTCAGTGCAACCCTAGTATCATTCCTCAGACACTTATCTTTTTTTTTTTTTTTTTTTGAGATAGAGTGTTTCCCTGGCTTAGAACTTGTCTAATATTGTCTAATACTAGTAGGCTGGCCTGGGAGGCCCATAAGCCCCAGGGATTCACTTGTTCTCTCTCTGCCCAGAGCTTGATTTACAAGCATGGGCAACCATGCCCAAGTTTTTTTTGATATGGGTTCTGGGGATCAACAAGTCCTCAAGCACTTTACCAACTGAGCTATCACCCCTAGCTGTATAGACATTTTAAATGAAATAAGTCCACATTAGATTCTTAATACTCAAGTTGCAAAGTGGAATGGACATAAGGGAGTTAGTGGAATTGTTTTTTCCTAACTACCTGGTGGTGGTTTATGTGACTGCTAAGAGCAGAGGTATACTGAAAGCATTCATTTCCTGATTTATCAAATGGTCTAATGCTAATTCTACCTTAAAAGGTTTTGGGAGTAGTAACTGGTGAGACACTGCTGTATGAGTTTGGGTTGTGTTAGCAGCGGTAGTAAAGATTGTTCCAGATAGTGTCATAGTGCCCTAAAGATTGCTTTAAGGAAAACATTTCTTTCTGAGAATCAAGTACAACTTTCTCAACATAGCTGTAATGTGCAAGAAAGACTACTTAGAAACTTTAGAAGGTACTATTAATATATATGATTTAAACTTAAGGATGATAAAACATCCAAGAAATTTATTTTAAAGTTTCATAAATGTAAAAAGATTATTTCTTAGGCATCATGGATAGATTAACAGAAAATTTTTGCTATAACTTCTTGTGAAACAACA